TTTTACATTTTATTGTGTCATGTAGCGTGGGCCGCTGGTCTTGGTCTTGACTTGGTCTTGGACCCCAAAAGTCTTGGTCTTGTCTTGGTCTCGATACACTCTGGTCTTGGTCTTGTCTTGGTCTCGGGTTAGGTGGTCTTGAACACAACACTGGTTGGCAGCCATTTTGTCCCCAACCTGTAGACTGAGGGAAATCCCAGGGGCCCCGGGGGCCCAGGCCACATGACCAGAGGCGAAGAACCCAGGACCAACCATGGCAACAGACAAACAGAACCGCCTCGAGTCTCAGCCCGATTTTACATGTGATGTTCCATCAGAATCTGTCCAGGGCAGCATTCATTCCTGCTGTGCAGAAAAATCTGGACAAAGTTTGTGGCCCCCCTTGACAGAGCGGGGGAGAGACGGAGAGATAAGCAGATGAATCATTGTTTTCAAACCTCCGTATCACGTCGGGCAGAAGCCGTTTGGTCTTTCCTGCCATAGGAGACCCTCAGAAACCACGCCTGGGACTCGTCCTGCTGCCAGGTGTTTCTCAGAGATCAGATCCTGTAAGCTGCACTCCGTCCTCACCTGACAACAGGAAAAATCAATCCAACCCCACTGACCTCTGTAGAAGCTGTAAGAATCGTCCAGTAGGTGTTGGCCTTCAAACAGCAGTCCAGCAGAAGATGGCATAATTCATATGTGTAGAAAGTGCAAATGTCCAAGTCAGCGCTGCTAAAACCAGCCGAGGCCTGAAGCCGAGGCCACGCGATCCCCCCTTCATCACCTCCTCTCACGGCCCTGAACCCGCAACACCCGGCCGCCACGGCGCCCGTCAGACCACAGGAAGCAGCACCGCTAGAGGAAAACACACAGTAAATGGGGTATGCCACCTTTTGCTCACATAATTATAAATTAAATTTCTTTTCTGTAGCTTGTGATGTAGATGAAGAGTTGCCTCTTTTGTTTTTTGTTTCTTTTTGTTGTTTCAGCCGGGCTCAGGGTCGCTGGAGCGGCTCAGATAAGGTCCACTGCCTCAGTCCCTGAGCTCCAAAGAATAAGAAAAAATAGAAATGCGTTAAGATGATTCACCATCAGATGTTTCAGAATTAACCGATTGTGGAATCAACTCCTCTCACCTACGGAAGCGCATTGCTATCACGCAGGAAAAAATTTTTTTCGATCGCTATCTCGTTATAACGAGATACGTAAGTCGTTAAAACGAGATAATTTTAGGTCCAGGAAGTGGCGGTATTATGCTAGGCTAGTACAGTGAGTAACATGAATTGGTCAGGTTTCCCTTCATGTTTGGTCTACAACATGTAGAGATACGGATGCTGCTTTGCACTGTGGTTAAAACCATTAATAGCATGCCTACTCTGACAAGATCCTAAACAGAACGGGACTGCACAGAAGGAGACGTCAGTCCGGTCCTCTGGCTGTGGCGGCGTTCCTGACTGGATCGAAGCTGAAGTTGGCTTCCGATTGTAGCTTCTGATTCGGGAAATGGCTAAAGGGAGATTATAACGGAGGCTCAGACGTATTTGCTGGACATTTTCTGTTCAGATTTTTTTTTAACAGTACACTTGCTGAACAACGGCAACGGCTGTTCGTAACCAAGCAACCGAAATCAACAGAAGGCTCGATAGTGGCAAAAGACAAAACTAGATCCTGTTAAGCATTCTTCAAAATAAAAGACTTCCTTTCTTATTAACATTTCTTGGTAAATTGCGGGTTTGAATATTGCAATACTTTCCTATGACAAAATAGACCTGCAGAAAGAAATTACTAATAAAATATCTTACATATGCATAGTTGTATGCTCTATATAGAGATTTTCCTTAGCTTTGATTGTATATTTCACAATTTTGTAATTTATCATTGTTTATTAAACTCTGAAAGCTGTTTAATATTCTGTCGTAAAATGCGGTTAGATGGGCCCTTTTTTTGTTTGTTTGAGCACCTGCCCCTTTAGTGGCCTCTGCACGGCCCTGCAGTCAGTAACACAATAAAACCACCGGGATAAAGTTTGTTTTGGTCTGTGGCCTGTAAAGATGGCGCCGAGCGACTGCACCTAAACGCCCCACAACGTCTGACGCAGTGACGTTGGTCCCAAAGCTCTACTGGCCAATAGCAGCTCTCCTCATTAACATAATGATGCACAAACAGGAGAGGAGAGGCAGTGACAAAAGAACAAGGGCTTCATCCATCCATCCATTTTCTGTACACCCTTGTCCCTTAGTGGGGTCGGGAAGAACGAGGGCTTGTATAAGGAAAAGAGGAAACAAAATATATACATTTCTTGACAAAAACTCGTGTAAGGACAAGGAAAAGCTAAATATATTTATACTTTTATTTCTTCTTATGTCAGTTTTGGTCCTCCATAGAAACCAACTTTGAGTATGTTTTGTTACTTTGAAACATTTAACCTGAAAAGTACTTTGAACTGTGAAATACTATTTCTATTGGGTGTTAAAATGGAATACTATGAAATGTAATGATGAATAATGGAGTGCTCCTGTGAGTTTCATATAAACTTATTTACTATAGTGATTATAAAGAGAAGACACGCATAGATTATATATATATATATATATATAGAATGATTTTTGATATTGATAAAACCCAGGGTCATAGGCGTAACTTCCTGAAGGACTGGTGTGGACGTGTCTCCACCAGCTCTGGCATGAAGGGGACGGTCCCCATCAATATTTCTTGCACTTGATTTTCTTTATGTGCCTTCATCTATTTGCAGACAGTAACTTGGGAGCAGCTTCATTCAAAGGATTAGCAGCCAGTTAATGCTTTTTAACAGTGGCGCACATTAGTCAGGTGGATGCGAAAACATAAATCAGCCCCCCCCCCGAGGGAAGGAACTTCAGGGTGAAGGACCGACGCTCAAACAGGATGACAAAATGAACAGCAGTTACTCAGACATCAGACTTGTTTGCCTTTACTGGTGATGAAAACTCGTCAGGAAAGGAAGAGGAGAGAGGAAGAGGAGAGAGGAAGACCGGCTCCGCCCCGTCCAGGATGACCGTCAAGGTAGCCAACAAAGTCTGCAGGTAGATTTTTGCATATCTGGTGCTCCGGTTTCCAGATCATAGTTTAACAAAGTAAATAAAAAGTTGGTCCACGTTGTGATGATCCGTGGACTGATGGACGCCGTCAGCTGGTCCAGGTGCTTGAATCCAATGGAAAGGTAATCGGCACAGCGATCATGGCTCAGAAACATGAGGTGTTGCAATGCAAACCTGAAAAATTAAAAACAAAAAACTAATAAGTGTTCATATTTAGCTACACAATGTAATCAAAACTAATAAACCCTCAGCTCTTTTTTGAGAGTTTGCTTGAAAATAAATTGACAATATCAGGAAATTAAATGTTTAAGTGAAATAGTTCTGGTATCACAAAGAAACTGCAAAAACTGTGTCAGAGGTGTAACAACACTGAAGTCACTGAGTAAGAGTGAACTAAAATACTACTTAGAAAATGCATGTTAAACCTGAATACTCTTTTGAAAGTGTGCAGCTGAAATTAATTTAAACTACTAGCAGGCAAAGCACAGTGTTCACCTGATATCTGTACCAACAGTAATACAAAAAATGATGCATATAAGACGCATTAGTTTATAAAAGTCCAAACAAACCTAAATTTACCATTTTAAAAACAAAAAGCAGTGGGAGGATGTAACTTCATAACCTCATTTTCTAAGCAGAATCTCAGAGGAAAACAAAGAGAAATTACGTTGGGTAAAGCAAGAACAGATTATAGCAGCCAAGTGGAAAAATTCACTCTAACGTGGATTATAATTATGAAACAGCAAAGGTAGATGTCATATTTTCGGGATTCGGGAAATACGTGATTTGTACCATTTGTTCTGTGGGTTTTCATGTGGATCGGTACCACTTAAACGGCAGTAAAGCGAAGGTTTTGGACCTTAATCTGACTACCTGTGTGGTTTGGATCCGGCTGAATCGTTGCTGCTCTCGGCTGTTCTTAAATTACTGCTCGGTATCGGAGGGGCTCGTCGCTCCGACTGCATGTTAAATGTATTTTATATAATTGTCATATAAACAAAAGCTAAGCAGCTGCCTAAAAATAATTTCATACTCTTATAACACAAACGCATCAACACACGTATTGCCTGACCTTGTGCCGAATCGCTGCCTCTGTCCTCAGCCTGTTCCCGTAGCAGTGGATTTCCTCCGGCATTATTTTCCTCCAACACATTATTCCACTGAACGAACCGTACAGCTCCCTTTAACCTCCGTCTCCCATTTCTGACTCTGGATCTTCAATATCCTCAAGTTTGAATTAGCAGGCAGCTACAAACCGGGTGTTAGCTGTAGTGGCTAAGTTTTGGCTACAGTCGCCTTGATATCAGCAGGAAAATGAAAAAACTAAGCACTGGATGGTACCGGCAAATTACTGGAGACCACGGCACACCACAAAACTCAGTTGTTGTACCAGCAGCTCACAGATATTTTAAGTTTTGTCTTGTTCGTGGTACAGATCTTGCAGCCTTGGCTAAAAACAATAGGAGCAAGCAGGACCCGGAACCAATCTATGTGGCATAAATTCAAACGGAAATACGTCACCACCTCTCGTGGCATATGCCATAGACATAATGGGCTCTTTGCACCTCAGCTTCCGCGTTCGGGGTAAAGCGGCTCGATTGTTTCCGATCCAATAAAAATATCAT